CTCAACATTTAGGCTGTTTCCCCCGATAAGCAATTTTTCCAGCACGACAATGACTCTCATATTGGGGAAGTCTAATTCGTTTATATGTATTATGATTATTGGTGAAGGCAGTGATGGTTTGTGGCAGAATTCCCACCTTCCATGCAGGAGACCTAGGTTTAATTCTGGCCAATTCACCTCAAACCCAGCCACCACCTGTAGACCAGTGGAGGTTTACCTGCCGCTATAATGCTGAACAGGTCTCAGAGGAACTTCCAGACTAAGAAACACTAAGAAAGGCCCAGACTAAGAAAGGCCCAGCAATCTACTTCCAAAAATCAGCCAGTGAAAACCCCATATGAATCCGAACAGCAGAAGCCCACTGTGCATGGGCTGCCATGATTTGGAGGCAACTAGAAGGCTGCTAACAACACCAACATGATTACTGGTAAACTTATATTTATTTTTTCAATTTATTTTTAGTTTTTGTTTATTATTCTCTTTCTTTGCTTGTTTCCTCCTTCCCTCCCTTCCTTTGGATTAATTTGAAAGAAAAATTTAATCTTCTTTTCTTTTTACTGATTTAGAACATTTAGATTATACTTCTATTGCTTTAGTATTTATCCTTAAATTGATATACATATTCATTACTATGTTTTCATCAAATATAAGATACCACTAATTGCAAGAAACACCATTATACTGTATACCACACAAACATAAAAATGTTGTCAATTACACCTTGATACAATGCTTTCTTTCTTATCCCTTAGAATTTTTATCTTCCACTTATTAAAAAAGCTCTTTGCCCTTACTTAGAGGTAGAATTTTATTGTGTATCACTCCTTTGTGGTATGGAATAAAAAGAAAAGTAAGGGAAATGAATGGTGATAAAAACCCTAAATCGTCTTCAGATTCAGATTCTAATCCTTCTGAATTACTTTCCAATTCAGAAATCACAGAAATTTGTTTTTTTCCCACATAATATCACCCTCTGTGTCATAAAGTATATTACTGATGCAGCACGTTTTTAATACAGTGTGCCACTATTATCTCCAGATATTATTCCACACATTAATGCATACACTTTCTTGATCTTACTAGATCACTCACTGGACACTTCATTGATGGTGTCATAAAATGTTTTCAGATAACAATCAGAACTCTTACTCCTTCCTCAAACGGTTCTTGAATGTTAACTGAAATATCAAAGGATTTTTTCAATCATGCCACCAGAAATAACAACCAAATTAACATAGGCATAAACCATAAATGTCACTAGGCCAACACTAATTGTAGACACTATCAACTGAAGATGCAATCTTATTTCAGAAATGTGAAGTTGAAAAAAGAGATACCTGGTAGCTTTTAATATTCTCTTTTCCTGAGTTCCCCCTCTCTGGTGTCTAGGTCTGTACTTATCTTTATTTAACCCACTTAATGACTAAAATGTACCTTTAATCTGAGGATTATTAAAAGAGCTCTTCACACTTACTTAGAAGTAGAATTTTAGTTTCTTCAACTGTTCTGGTTACCTAGTACCACTCTGACAAGAAATATACCACAAGTGGAATGGCATTAATAAACAGAAGTTTATTCTCTTATAGTTCAGGAGGTTAGAAGTCCGAGTTCAAAGTGCCAGGCTCTAGGGGCTGGGTGAAAGCCCCTCAGCCTTGGGCTTCAGCTCTGCCTCCAGCTCCTGGCCCACTGAAGCTAGAGGCTTTTCTTCAATCAGACAGCTACTGGCTGCTGAGGCTGACAAACCCAAGGTTGACAAGTAAAAAGGCATAAGCCCGATGTTACCAAACCACACAGCAGGCCATTAACTCAAGTCCATTTCAAGTTCCAAGGTCGGCAGAGCATAGCAGGCTGCTGGACAACGACATGGCTACACACAGGGTCCAAGAGTGCCATAAGCTCAAGATCATTCCCCAAAGCTTCTGCTTCTATAAGGAAGCAGACCACATTCCCTAAAGCAGCTACTCAGCCTCTCACAGTAGATTCCACCATGGAATTAATTACCAGTCTCATCAAGGGGAATACTATATCCAGCTGCCCAGCCACTCAACCAGGCCCAGCCAAGGTGACACACAAACTGAACTAACACATCAACTATAGAAAATTCTGAGCTGCTAACTCTTCAAATACTACTTTTCTACCATTTCCTCAATTTTCTTTCTTCTGAAATTCATATTACATGGGTCCTGGTAACATCTGTTTCTCTGTTCTATATTCTGGGTGAATTCCCTCACTACTTATTATCTTCCAAATTCACTCTTTGACTGTATCAAGTCTAAAGTTTCTCTTCTCTAATTTTTTTTTTTTACTTCAATAACCATACTTTTTCACTTCCAAGTTTCTAAATAGATATTTTTCCTATCTACTAGATCTTATTTTATTATGCTGCTTTTAATTTCTTAATCATCTTTAGTACAAGTGCTCTGTTCACTTATCTCTTTGGACAAGTCTCAAAACACATAAATGTTTTTGTTCATTTGTTCTATAAATTTAAATTCATCCAAAGTGAATTCTGTTATGGACTGAATTTTGTCCCAAAAACCTTACGTTGTATATCCTAACCTCTATGCTTCGCGTTAGGAGCTCTGGTGGCATAGTACCTAAGGCATCTGACTGCTGATCAGAAAGCTGGTGGGTCAAACCCACCAGCCACTCCTTGGAAAGAAGGTTGGGCAATCTACTTCCGTAGTAAGACTGCCTCGGAAACCCAAGGAGGGGTCGCTATAAGTCAGGTCCGACTCCACGGCAGTGAGTTTGGTTTTGGTTTTTTATGCTTCTGGTTATAATCTCATTTGGGAATAGGTTACCTTTTTCATGTTAACAAGCCAGGATTAGTGTAGGTTGTGTCTCGAGTCAATCTCTTACAAAATATCAAAGAAGGAAATAAAGAAAACACACATGGGGGAAGACAGATGCCAAGCCACAAAGAGATCTTTAAGGAACCTGGAAACAGAAGAGTCAAGAGTGAGAGAGAATGCCTTCCCCTAGATCTGGAGCCATAATTCGGACTTCCACCCTCTATGGTGAGAAGAAGAATTTCTGTTATAAAGACACCCATGTGTAACTAAGACAATTCTTCTTAATTTCAATTGTTAAATTATTGGTTGTCTTGGTACTAGATTTCTTAGATATACTCTAGAATTTTGGCTGTTTGTTCATTCCAAATGTGAGAATATTTTATTTATCCCTCCCCCTTCTTTCTCTCCATCAGTACTGCTAAACATCCTCACAGAATATAATGTATTGTTGTGTTATGCTCTACCCTTTATGCTCATCCATCCTCCCACCTAGCAGTTCTCAGATTATCTCTTGCAAACTCTCCAGGACCCAAACTAGAATCAGTCTTATGAAGGTTGTTTTTAATTACTTCTGTGCAAGAATACTGGAGATACAGCCAATGTAGACATGCACTGACTCCCAGCTTGTCTGACTAGGATAGTGTCTCTGTCCTTTGTGTCTCTAGTCCTCAACTTCCAATAAACTCTTTACCCACAGTGAGCCAAGCCAAAAGCTGTCTTTCTTCTCTATCTATAGCTTCAAGCAGTAAGCCAAGGTCCTGGTCCCTCATATCAAGTGGGGAACATTCATTTACCATACAAGCCTAATTCTACTGCCTACTTTAAAAGTGAGTACAACAAGACTGCACAATCAACATGTACTCACCATTTCAGGTTTCTGTTCCATTTCTGTTCCACAGAGATAAAACTCTTCTTACTGGATTCTGTTATTTTGTTTTGTTTTCCCTTTGTATATTTTATTTATAATTGCTATGCCTGGAATGAAGGGTGCAAGAAGTCTCTGGGTGGCACAAATTATCAGTGCCTGACTACTAACTGAAAGCTTGGCAACTCAAATCCAGCCAGAGGAGCCTTAGAAGACAAGACTGGCTATCTGCTCCAAAAGGGCTAAGTCTTGAAAGCCCAATGCAGCAGTTCTACTGTGCACACATGGAGACACCATGAGTCAGATCTGACTCCATGCCCACTAACAACAGTAAAATCTACACTTTTAAAGTTATAATCATAATAGAGAGATAATGTGTGGAGTCTTTTTTTTCTTAGATTTTCAAATAGTTTATCAAATTTTCAAAATTATCACTCCCTATGGCTCATATTCCTAAATGAGATATATCATATCAAAAAAGTCAATGATTGTTTTAAACTGTTTTGAAAAGGGAAAAAGAACTTTCATTTGAAAAAATGAGTGAGCGAAAGAGCTGTGGATTACCGTGATACTACATGAGAATTGCTCAGTCGTTAATATATTTCCCACATTTAAAGCTTATCTTCACACACTTAGACCTTTCTAATATATTAAAGTCTTATTTGAAAAAAAGCTCACCTCATTGTTAAATATTATACCAAGCAGCACCTCAACAATTATCTTACTATAAAAATGTTCTGCAAATAAATCATTAACATAAAAAATCATTTATTTATATGTGCTTGCTAATGTCTTTACTATATACAATAAATTTTACAAACTCACTTCTGTGTTACTTAGGTAAATCATAATATTCTGAGGCACTATGTCTTCATCTTTAAAATGAGATCATTCTTGAGAGTTTGAAGATAAAATGCAGCCTTGTATGTGAGAGTGTTTTGAAACCACAGAAGTCTCCTGAGACTATAGCCCTTAGACCCATTCAAACCTGGAACAGAACTCACCCATGGTTCAACTTTCAGCCAAAGGACAGGCCTACAAGGTGAGCAATAATGCCAGGAAGGTACACACCCATCAGAACAATCAACCATATGAAAAAGGTAGTGTTTGCCCAGGGATAAAACTCAGCAGGCAGGAAGGGACAGGAAAGAAAGAATGGAAACCGGAAACACAGAGGGGAAGTGAGAAGAGTGCTATTACACTGTAGGACTGCAACCAATGTCACAAAACAAAATGTGTATGAATTGATGAGTGGAAAATCAACTTGCTCTGTAAACTTTCACCCAGATTATAATAAAAAGTTTTAAAAAAGAAAGAGGTGTTATTTTTATTTTTATTACCTTTTCTATTTCTCTTTGTGTAGCTCCTTCCTTTTTCAAACGTTCCTGTTCTACACACTTAGCATTGTAATTTTCCTTGGATTTCTGGAGGGCCTGAGTTATGCTCTGAATAGTCTGGACAGCTTCCAGAGTTCCAGCAACTTCTTCTTTCGTCTGTTTAGCATAAAATGATTCATCAAAATGACTGTACTCTAAAGCACTCAATATATGACAAATCACTACTTTACTTTTTTCATGTTTCAACAAACATACTTTATTATACTGTATAATTTTTATTCAAGTGACATTCAAACATATGAAAAACAGTTGCATATGCCATGGCCATTAATGAAATCATTACATACAAATGGTTATGCTTTACTAAGTCATTCATTAAAAGTAATTAATGAGGAAGCCAGCATTAAAATATTTCGCAATCATTACCAGGTTCAGCCTGACCCATTTTTATAAATATTCATCAACAAAAATGTGCCTCAAGAACTCACCCAGTATATTAAATTCTTGTCTAGATATGTTTTGCTTCTATTAATGGCATTGGCCATAGTACTTTCTGTGATTTGTTTTCTGGAACTTTGGGATCTATTGTACACAAATAATGAAAACTCTGAGTAATTGCTGATAATCCAATCACTACTTTAGCAAGAAAAAAAGTGATACCTTTTTATGAGATTTTACTTGTTCTTCTCCATACTTCTGAACTTCCTTTATTAATTCTTGCAATTTTCTAACAAGATCCAGGTGGCAATTTGCTAATTTCTCTGTAGATGTTTTGAACACATCCCACATTGGTGCAAAAGTTCTATAGGAAGAAATTACATAGACAATTTATTAAAATAAATTTCAGGCTCCTAAATGGAGCCAATGGAAGCAATAATGCTTTATTGAGCAATTTTAATCAGGTAAAAACTCAAGCTAAAATAAATCACGAATGAAATGACTGATTGATAGACTGACCTTGATTTCTCAGTCCCTGACTAATTATTTAAGATATTTTTGGACTTCATATACACAGAAATTGGTTAACTACTTATCATAGGTCTGGCCCTGGGTCCTTCTTATTTAATTACATTGTATTATTTTCTGAGTAGATTTGGTTATTTAGATTTGTGTCAGAAGCCTTTCTACCCACTATTGATTAATCCATTAATAAAACTTAACTCTTTTACGTTAGTCAATTTAGTATTCCATTTAAAACTTGCTGTTGAGTCAAACCCAACTCATAGCGAGCCCTCTTTGGGTTTCCAAGGCAGTTATCACTAAGGAAGTAGATTGTCCAACCTTCCTTTGGAGGAATGGCTGGTGGGTTTGAACCCCCAGATTCTGGTTAGCAGTCAAATGCCTTAGGCACTAAGTTTTTCTGAATTTAAACACATAAAACTCAGATTTATATATGTGATTTTTTAAAATGTCTTCATCATTAATAATAGCATAAGAATTATTTTAGAGAAGTTATCTGAAACTTTTGCCTGGATCATAACTATACCTATGTGTACCTCAATGACATACGAGTAAATTAATTTCTCTTATTACTAAAGGTTACAGGATACGTGACATACTTTCCTACCTCTTTTTCTCAATATTGAGGATTTCACATTTTTCATATGTTCAAATACATACAAGAATCATTATGTTACCAGATCATGGAGAGTACCCGGGAGGTCAATGGTTAGTTTAAACAAATTTGCTCAGCAGAGAATGATTTAAGGATAATTTTATCCCATGCTTTGTTCAGGTACTTCTGATATTTTGACTACCACCTGTTTTAAAGTGGTGTCTACAATAAAATTCCTAATAGAAAACAAATTGCAACAATGATCACTAAGGCAAGAGGGCAGAGAAAGTAATTACTAATCCTAATACATACTTTATGCCAATTACTACATTTCCTACCCAACAGAAAAGCTAACTGGCAATCATTATTTTGTGTAATAATAAAGAAGTTCAAAGTGGATAATCAAATTACTCAGCATAGGACTGTTCTGATTAGATCTCATCTCACACTTTACAAATCTAACTAGTACTAAATGTGTCAAGTACTTGGATGGAAAATTGCAAGACGAAAAGATACCTGAAAAGGATCCACTCACTACAGCACCAAAATACATGTACTTTACTTCAAGTAAACCTGATATATGACTATCTAGACTTCACAGAGCAGGTAAGTGTTCTCTTACTTTATCAATGAATTCTTTATACTGAGAAAGGGTTCAACGTAAGATTTCTTTAAGTATGTTTCTTTAATGAATTTCAAATACTATCAATTTTTTCAAAGGTTGTTGTACATAGCTTTTCTGGTCAAGTAATATACACTAATGTAAAATAAGCACTCAGAAAGAAAACTAACAAATCCAAAATATGTTTAAATTAACTGAATACAGAAAAGCAAAACTCAATTTCTGCTAAAATATGCATAAGTAAACAAGAATATTAACATTTTACATCCTTATTATCTTAAGAGAGATGACACTAATACAAAAAGTAAAACACTAACTGTTATTTATGAAAAGCACACATTCTAAAAACAAAAATGGAACTTTGTTATCAGAAGACACAGATGAAGTAAATCCATGTTCTTCCTACCTCACACCTGGCAACCAAGAACAGGGCAAATATTTTTGTAATAAAACCATGGCCACTTAGTTAAAGTTATCTTTTGTTATCCTGAGGAGCTCTGGTGGTGCTGTGATTAAAGCATTGGGCTGCCAACCAAAAGGTCAGTGGTTCAAACCCACCAGCCACTCCGCAGAAGAAAGATGAGGCAGTCTGCTTCTGTAAAGATGTACAGCCTTGGAAATCCTACGGGGCAGTTCCACTTTGTCCTATAGGGTCGCTGTGAGTGGGAATTGACTCAATAGCAATGAGTTTAGTTGTTTTTGTTTTTTTTTTTCCTGTTTTTTTTATTCCAGTTACTTCCTGGCCCTACTACTCTGGTCAATAAATAAGAAATTATGTTTTAAAAGAGGCATGTCAAAAATAGAGAGTCTCTAACAATCAACCATGGGAGATCAAAAGGGTAGCATTTGTACATGGAGATAGCTCAGAGGGCAAGAATGCATAGGAAAGAAGGACACAAGGAAAAGGTAACCACAGGTAGGAAGTGGGAAGATACCTGTTGTATTGTGGAGGTTACAATCAATGTCATGAAACAAAATATGTATGAACTGTTAAATGAAAAATGTGTTTGCTCTATAAACTTTCATCCAAATTACAATAAAAAGAAGAAGAAGAAATGGAGTCTCTAGAAATAGGAAACTGCCAGAAAAGTTAAGAGGTAGAAGAAAAAAAGAAGGAAGAATAAAGCTGTGATACAGGCAAAGGGACAGTGAGTAAGGAACTGGAGGACACCTGGTAATTAAAAAAGAAAAATAACTATCAACTACCATTTCCCACTCTCCTCTAAAGGGGGTGGAGAGGGTATGTGGGGTGTAGCTCTCCAGCCTTCCCAGCTACAGTAAAGACAGCAGAAGGTCCTCCTAGCTGTTAGCACTTACATAATGAACAGTGCCACAACCCTCAACACACACCAACATTGCAATTCCTCTTTGCTCAGACCACAAAGTATTAAGGCTTTTTTTAAAACTCATTCAACTTCACTACAGAAGGCTTTCTATAAAACAGTTATTCTTGACCATTTTTTTCGATCACAGAAACAACTGTGAATCTGATCATTGTTACAGACTCTCTTCATAAAAATAAGCATTATTACTTAAAAAAAATTTTCATAGAATTTCAGGGAATTCACAGATTCATCAGAATCCCAGATGTAGAGGAATCTTTAACTATACATCACTACAAAAATCTTTAAAAATAATTTCAATTACTTCAAGAACTTAGCTAACCTTTCTTCAATTTATAGATTATTGGATTACACTAGCATTCTTTCCAGGATTGTTATGGTTCAAATTATACAATTATTCTTTCCATAGTTGTTATGTCTATGAACACATCTCATTTTAAATATACTCTTATCAATTTCAATTTTCAAAGAACAATCTCTTTAATGAAAATTTTGAGATTTAATAGTCTAAAATAATAAGATGTTTTAAGGCATTTTAAATAAAATTTTATTTATTAAACTGAAACTTTAAAGTGTATTTTCAAAGATCATTGTAAAACTTCATCAAAATTTAAATGAACTTACAGAAAACTGTAATATTTTGCATATGTATAACACAATCTTTAGAATCTCAAAATTACACTATTAAATGACAATGTAGTTTAATAAAAGGGAAAAAAAAATAAGTTTCATTCACTTTGACTACATTTAACTGACCTAACAAATTCAATTTCATTTTCTATCCATTTAAAACATCAAGAGCATATTTATACTTAGAGACATTTTAAATAAGTACCTAAAGACAGCACATAACAACAACAAGGAAGTATTACTAAAACTATAAACTATTACATCCTCAGTGGTAACCTATTATTCTCAAGAGCTTTGCTAAATGAACACTGAAAAAAAGGAAGACAGTAACTCACCCAAGCTGTGAATAATTGCTTGCTGATTTTGCTAGTTTTGTCATTGACCTGGAATATGCCTCTTCTATTGTGGCTCTGTTAAATCAAAGTTCCTTATTATAATATCTCATTTAGTGACCCCCCCCAAAAAAAATTATCAAAATAAAATTAAATCCATAAAAGCAAAAAGATATTTTAAGTTATATGCGAAAAACAAGCAGATATGCATTTATGAATTTCTGGTTGATCTTTAAGTAGCCTTTGTACACATACACTTTAAAGAACTAGCTTGTTATGGAGGTAAAAGAATTTATACCACCCAAGAAACTCAAATGAGTTCACTATTCTTTTTTGTTTAGTATCAATGGTTATCTGAACAGAAAGTGAAAGAGCGCTGCTTTTTTATTCTCTTTCTCTGTAAACTGTGATGTCACTTTTATTTACAGTATCCTATGTGTATTTACCATGGTTTTATTATTCCTCAACATTCTGATGTCATTATAAAGCACATTTAATAGAACAAGAGATTGATGATTTCCATTTGCATAAAAATAAATATGAATCATCAGCAAATCTCAGTCCCTCAATTTCAGGGCTTACTTTATTTCATGATTAGATCTAAAGTAAGTATCTCATACTAGAAAACTGTATGTTATAGTACCACTATTTAGCATATAGAATTTTAGGTTTAAAAATTTCACCCAAAGATATAAAATATGAAATAAAAATAAAACAAATTATTCCATAGACATACAGCCTACAAATACAAAATATGAGGCTTCTTAATGAATACTGGCCTTCTTAATACTACAAAACTTAAGTTCTGGTCTCAGATTTTCCATACTTACTCCTGGCCCTTCTTAGTCTGTGTGACCTTTAACAACTTTCTACAACCACTGCCGCTCTTTCACTTAACTTTGCTAGACTCAGCTAACTCTCTCCTTCTAATGTTTTAATCCATATCTCCACAGTACTCTTGCAATAAATTATCAGCTGAATATTTCTAAATGCCTCAATCATACTATACTTGAACATCTTAATCACTTCATAATCAGACTATCCAAACTAAGCTGTCTCCAAATTCTTTACTAACCCGACTCCCACAAAAAAGAGTTCTCTAACTAAAATGAAGTATTAACAGTAACTGCCTCTCATTGATGGCATTATGACTTTTTCTGCTCCTTGAAATTTTTCTGTACTTTTTAAATACATTATGATAGAAAATTAATACTTTGATAATTTAAAAAAAATACAGAAAGAACTATTAATATCTTAATGGATAAGCTTAAACAGCAAGAAAAAGTGGTTCAATTTCCAGTAACAATGAACTAGGTAAGTCAGACAAAAGCTTCTCATTGAGTATTACTAAACAAAATAAGAGGGACAGGGTGCCGACTAAAATGTTTCAGAGTTAAAAAGGCAGTTTACCAAGACCCAAGAGAACGATACCCAGAGAACTAAGCCAGGTATGTGAGGTAGCTTTTCTCTTGGGGACCTCTAGAAAAGGTAGCTGAGAGGCTACATAAGTGGAGCAGAGCTTTTGAAAGCCTCAAAGAGTAAGGAGACACTTGGAGTAGGTTGCCAAAAGTAGAAGGTATGGTAAAGTTCACGCCCCTTGAGTTGACACTCTAAAAGGCAATACACCAGGAGAAAAGTTTGAACTTGTAAGTAGCAAGCCCTCACAGGGACTACAAAAGAAATTTTTTCAAACTTTACTATAAGATCCTTATAGATATCCTATTCATTAAACAACTAGGCACACAAGAAATAAGACAATTAGAATAAATCTAGCAGAAACAAGTTACAGAGTTCCAAAACCCTAGGTTACCAAGTTTAAACTATGAGTTTATGTAATATGTTCAATGAAGTAATAGATTAGATCAAGAATTTCTGTAGAGAACTAGGAATCATTTAAAAGGAGTGTGGGAAAACAGCAAATTTGAAACTCTGGTTAGCAGCTAAATTCCTTAACCACTGCAGTGGTCTTAACCAAAATCAACTCGACGGCAGTGAGTTTAGTTTGTTTTTATACTTGCAAAAGTGAAGATGACTTGAAGCATTTACTGATGAAGTTCAAAAACTTCACCATTTACTATGGATTACACTTCAACATAAATCTGAGCAAATATTAGCTCTGAAAAAATACAATAAAGAAAATTAGTATCTCAATGGATGGGCTTAGCAGCAGATTTGATACACTGCAGTGAGAATTAGCAAAGTGGAATACGAGTGAGAACAATCTATCTCAGAATGAGGTTCAGAGAGACAGACAAATGGAAAACAAAAGAGACATAGGACAGAGAAAGAAAGTCAACATATATGTAAAGAGAGAAAGTATGGGGCAGAAGCAATATTTGAAGTGATAGTAATAGTTTTCCTAAAAAATAGTAATAGTTTTTCTAAAAAAATAGAGCCACTGATCCAGAAAGCCCAACAAATCCTAAGAGTATAAATAAAAAGAAATCTTTGCGCTCTGGGGGCACAGTGCCCAAGGCATTGTGACTGCTAACTAGAGGGCTGGCAGTTCAAACCCACCAGCCATCCCCCAGAAAGAAGACTGGGCACCAGTTCTGTAGAATTACCTCCTCAGAAACCCGAGGGGTCGCTATGAATCAGGATCGACTTGACAGCAATGACTTTGGTTTTTTTTGGTTTAAGCCCCATAGGGTTAATTTTTTTTCTCATGGAGAGGTCAGTGGATTCAAACTGACAGCCCTTCAGTTAGCAGCCAACCACTTAACCATGGCATCACCAGGGTTCCTTAAAGAGTAGTAAAGGAGTATATTACTTCTAAAACAATGAAGGGAAAAAACTGAATTTTTTAAAAAATAAGCCAAAAGAAGGGGACAAAGAAGACAAAAAGGAACAACAAATTGAAAGCAAATATTAAAATAGTATAAGAGTGTGACAGTTGGAGCTGTGTGTCAACTTGGCTGGACCACAATTTTCTGTGGTTTAAGCAATTGTGATGTGGGTTGTTCCAATGATGGGATCAGATGTATATGTTTTGAGCAGCCAATCCACTGAAAGGGAGTTTCCCTAGGGGTATGGCCTGCTTCCAGTATATTTATGGACATCCTGGGAAAAGAGACACTCTTCTGTGGATCGGGATTTTGTTGTGCTGCCTACTGTCCATGAACAAACAATCCACCATTCGCCCTGGAGATCTTGGATTCGTCATTCGTTGGAGCCAACAGCCAGCATACTGCCTGCCAACCTTGAGCTCCACAGACCCTGCAGCTGTGTGAGTCGGGAAAAGCCTCCAGCTTGACGTTTGATCCAAGAACTTTGGACTTGTCAGCTTCTATAAGTGTGTAAGCCATTTTCCTAAGATAAATTTTCTCCTTTTTTCTCTACATAAGCTTTACCGGTTTTGTTTCTCTAGAGAACCGAGTCTAACACAAAGAGTCAGTAACCTACAACCCTATGGGCATGTCATTTATTTTTATAAATAAGTTTTACTGGAGCACTATCATGCTCATTCATTTACATGTTGACAATGGCTGCTTTTATGGCTAAACTACAGAGTTGAGTAGTTGCAACAGAGACAAGATAATCTTATGAATTCTAAAATACTTACTTTTTGGCCCTTTACAGGAGAAAAAAAAAAAAATTGCCACCTCTGAGATAGAAGGCTTGAGCTCAAATACATCAGAGTAATAATACTGAATGTGTGAGCTCTGGTGACATAGTGCCTAAGGCATCTGACTGCTAACCAGAAGGCTGGCAGTTCAAACCCACCAGCCACTCCTCAGAAGGAAGATTGGGCAATCTTTCCGCCTCAGAAACCCAAGGAGGGGTCGCTATGTGTCAGATCCGACTTGATGGCAGTGGGTTTGGTTTTTTTGGTTTGTTTGTTTTATACTGAATGTAAATGGATTAAAAGACAAAGGTTATCAAAGTGGCTTTTAAAATATGAGAGAAACACATTTATTATGGACTGAATTGAATTGTGTCCAAAAACAAATGTGTTACAATTTCTTACCACTGTACTTGTGACTAGGAGCTCTGGTGATGTAGTGCCTAAGGCATCTGACTGCTAACCAGAGGGCTGGCGGTTCAAACCCACCAGCCACTCCTTGGAAGGGAGATTGGGCAATTTTCTTCCATAGTGATACTGTCTTGGAAACCCAAGGAGGGGTTGCTATGAGTCAGATCCAACTCAACGGCAGTGAGTTTGTTTGTTTTTTATACTAGTGACTGAGGAACTCTGGTGGTACAGTGGTTAAGGAATTCAGATGCTAACCAAAACTTAGGTGGTTCAAATGCACCAGCTGCTGCAGGAAAGAAAGATGAAGCAGTCTGCTTCCATAAAGATTTACATCCTTGGAAACCCAAGGGGGGTCACTACGAAAAAGAATCAAATCAAAGTTTGGTTTGTTTTTATACTTGTGAAAGTGAAGATGACTTGAAGCACGTACTGATGAAGATCAAAAACTTCACCATTCTGTGTGGATTACAACTTCAACATAAAGAAAACAAAAATCTTCATAACTGGATCAATAAGCAACATCATAATAATGGAGAAAAGATCAAAGTTGTCAGGGATTTAATTTTACTTGCATCCAAAATCAACTCCCATGGAAGTAGTCAAGAAATCAGACTTCATATTGTACTGGGCAAATCTGCTGAAAAAGACTTCCTTAAAGTAAAGTGTTAAAGAGCAAAGATGTCACTTTGAAGACTAAGGTGCACCTGATCCAAGCCATGGTATTTTCAATCACCTCATAGGCATGTGAAAGCTGGACAATGAATAAGGAAGACTGCAGAAGAACTGATTCATCCAAACTGTGGTGCTGGCAAAGAATACTGAAAAAAACATGAACTGCCAGAAGAACGAACAAATCTGTCTTGGAAGAAGTACAGCTAGAATGCTCCTTAGAAGTGAGAACACAGCTAGACTTTGCCTTACGTACTTTAGTCATGTTGTCAGAAAGGCCAGTCCCTGGAGAAGGATGTTACACTTAGTAAAATACAGGGTTAGTGAAAAAGGGTAAGACCCTCAACAAGATGAATTGATACAGTGGTTATGAAGATGAGCTCAAGCATAGCAAAGATTGTGAGGATAGCACAGCACCCAGCAGTGTTTTTTTCTG